GGACACCAAGATGCTCAGAGGGATGGAGCACCTCTCCTGTGAGGAAAGGTTGAGAGAATTGGGATGAGCCTGGAGAAAAGAAGGCTTTGAGGTGACATAATTGTAGCCTTCCAGCACCTGAAGGGAGCCTAGAAGAAAGACGGGGAGAGACTTTTTATGAGAACATGTGATGACAGGACAAGGGGAAATGGATTTAAACTAAAACAGAGTAGAGATTTGATATTAAGAAGAAATTCTTTACCGTGAGGGTAATAAAGCACTGGCACAGGTTTACCAGACAAGCTGTGGATGCCCCAGCCCCGGAAGTTTTCAAGCTGGATGGAGCTTTGAGCAACGTGGTCTAGTGGGACCTTTCCAACCCAGGCCATTCTGCGGCAAGTTTAACAAATTATCAGCAACCCACCGTACAATACTGCCTTTTTATCAAAACACATGCAGGGAACACCTGGGAAAGGCCACAACAGCACTGCATTAGTTTAACCTCTAACAACACCTAAGTTACCCCCGTGCAGGCAGGGATGCGGGCGGGACACAGCGGCGAGCACTCAGGGCAGAGATCGCCATCTCCCGGTTCCAAGAGCGCCGGCTCTCGCCGTGGACCACGCCTGTGCTGGTGCACTGAGGAAGGCTAAGGCTGGCTCCTACAGAGAGACCACACACAGAAGAATGCGCGATTTGTTGTCCCCCACATCGTGGGGAAAGTCTCGTGCCCACAGAAAAGAAATGGGTGACAGCAGCAGCAATTAAAAAAAAAGGTAGCAGAATGAATTAAAACATGGGAGCAGCAAACCAAGAAATGTGATGAGAGACATATTATGAACATTCAGGATAGATTGGTTAGTTTGTCCTTAAATAATACAAATGAGCTACTAGGAGACCATGCAATAAGGAAAAACGAAGGAGTGGAAATACAGAAGAACCTGTGCTGTTCAGAATACTACTTGTAATTTTACAACAGTGAGAGGAGGAAGCGAGAGAAAAGGAATAGCTGTTTATGCTTCTTTTTATTCAAGCTACTTGCATGGTGAGTTTTTCATTGTAAGTACTTCGGAACCAAGGTTTGAAGTGTCCACACGTAAACTGTTCACATATACTCTTTAATATAACAGATCCCTGGATAGAAAGCCTTAAGTGCTAAAACCCCCCTTAAATATTAAGAATCAGTCACTGTCAAAGCAAGTGAAAACACAGACAGAATTCTTCCATATCTGTGGAAAAATTATGGGCATAAAAATAAAAAACTCAGTTCAACTGAATGCACTATGAATACAGCAAAGATAATGAAATTAATTTTCCTATCAGTGAGGATCCTGAACTGTTGCCAAAAATTTCAGGACTCTTAACACAGAATTCTCACTACTGCAACCAACATTAGAAACTAAGAGTTGAAACAATGCCACACAATAAGGGCAGCAGGGAAGCTGGCTTCTAAACTTGAGACTACTATTAAAATAAATGTTCAGTCTTCCTTGGAAGTACATTTATCAGAATGCTGTGAAACAGAAAACTGTGTACATATTAATAGAAAATGAATCGATACGTATCTATATGTAATAGGAAGAGCGCCATCTACTGGTATATAAAAATACACACCACTGTTCCTAAGTTTGTAAACAGCTGTCACGATAGGCAACAATGCTGTCATTACTATGTTCTACAAACAACAGTGTCCAGTTTTGAACTTTGCCTCACACATTCAGCATACTATATTTTAGCAAATACATGTAAGCCATATATCCTACAACATAAGCTTCTACCCATAAAACAGGAAAAGAACCAAATTCAATTGTCTTATTTTAAGGTCTTAAGACCTTACTGCAGCCGACCAGTATTTAAAGGGGGCTTATAAGAAAGATGGGGATAGATATGGCCATGCACAAGATAAAGATTTGCAAAAGAACTACATATTTTCAGAAAGGAAAATTTGGCGATATCAAAAAAAACACCTCTAAAAACATAGGGGAAACCTTAGAGGTCTTCCACTCCTATACTTATACTGTTATGTATATACTGTCTTGTTCCTTTGTATTCGTGTGAGGGATAGTAAAGCACTGAAAAAGTAAATCTGAAAAAAAAAAAAAAAAAGAAAAACAAAAAAGAAGACAAAAATTTAAAAAAGGATATTAACTTTCTATTTTACCTCATGTGAAAAGAGACAGGCTGCAATACTCTCATAAGTAGGTATGGCCTTCCAACAGAATACACTAAAAGCAGTACTGGGAATAAATTTCAGAGACATAAACAATTCATAAACACAGCTCATAAACTGAGAGCACAGAAGAAGGTGTGGCCAAGTTAATAAAAAGTAAACCTGCTTCAAAAAAGCTCTTACTTGCAGCAAAGTGATTGCAAGAGTAATGTGCAGTGAAAGGAAGCTGCTCTAGCCACATCACAGAGAAGTCTATCCTAAAACCATACGTACTTCACAGCTCCAAAAAATCTCTGCTCAGAGAAGGCCAGCAGGAGAAACTAAATAACTTTCTTAGAGACTGGTTTCACCAGGTCATGATTGTTTTTATTAGTGAGAAGTCTGTGGCAGCATGTATCTTGGCTTCCTGTGCTGTGCTGAGCTTTACAAAAGACCTATGTAACCTGGATTCCAACACTAAGGCTCAGAGTCATAAACAAAACAAAAAATATCTACCATTTTAAGTAGCATCTAATTCTAAAAACAGTCAACACTGCACACTAATTAATGTCACTAAATTTCTTTAAATTAAATGTCACTAAATTTCTTTTCACGTTTTATTCTTTTAAAGAACTTACCAACCTGCACACTCTTAGCATCAGAAATATAGTAATAATGCATTTCAAGTGGGTAGCTACCCTTCTTGCCTTTACAAACAACACAGCTTCTCTATGACAATGGCAGGAAAGTTAAAAACTAACCCAGCATTAAATACATTCAACATTAAATACATTTTTTGCAACTTTGAAAATGCAATTTAGTAGCTAAAAACAAAAGTCTTGAGATCAGCCTGCCTGTCAATGACCTTAGCTAAAGAAGTACTGAATGGCCCCAGTACCCCCCCAGAGGAACTCACGCCTGCCACCAACAAAAAAAGCAATGTGTAATTTTATAGTTAATGTATATAGCTATTAAAGGGAAGAAGAGATTCAACACTAACTTGACCAAATAATGTAATTTTCTAATCAGATACAACTTTGCGTTTTGTTTGTTTTTTAAATATAAATCATTACCATAGATGGCAAAAGAAGACCCTCAAGAGTAGCAAAACATTTAGTTTAGTTTGTTCCGTAAAAACAAGCGTGATAGTCCTTATTTTATCACAATTGCTGGTGACTGGAATGACAGGGATAATCAGGAAAGGGAAATAAAATCACTTTCTTCAAAAGGTTTTGTGATGATGTTTCAGTATAAGAAAAAAGCAGCAGCCCCAGCTCCAACCATTTGCAACTTGTTTGTTCCTGATACGTTTTCTTACATCAGCATCAATTCAGTTACATGAATCAGATGAATCAGATGTTGTAGATTAAGATAATTCAGGGTTTTTTTGCTGTCTGTAGTAGACTGTCTGGGTACAACTCTCCCTCACCACTTAACATCATCAATGCACATGTTATTTACATGCATCATTAATATGTTACGCTACTAAAAAGCAAAATGGACAAATTTTGCTCTGTTTAGTAACTAACTGCATACTACTGTACCTCTCCTGTTCCATTACAAAGAATACAAGGAATCAGCAAGATTACATTTGAAAATGCAGGGGGTGGTTTTTTTGTGTCATTTTACTCTGGTATTCAAGCTTTCCCACACTTTGAATTAAAAGTATACGAACCTCAGTAAAAGCCTCCTGAAAAACACCTTAAAGACAGGAAAAGAATAACAGTGATTTTACTCAGTACTAAATTGTTCAAATTTTCATGGTAGGTGGTACAGCCCACTAAACACGTATATACAGGCACCCAAGGCCACCCAAAAGACTGTGAGAACATATTTCTAAGACTACTGCCTTTACATCAACAATAGTTGTTTACTAATATGTGCATCGTCATCATCACCAATTATTTTATAGTAACTTGTACATCCTAGTATTACATCCATAGCTAGATAATATGACATACGAAATTAACCAGTAAGCAAGAAATTATCTACCTACAGAAACCTAGAAGTATTTTCAGCTTTAGCAGAGCTGTACATAAATATTGATGAGGTTGCTACATTCTCACAAGTTGTGGGGACTAAAAAATTTTAAAAAACATATTAACAATTCCCTTTACATTTTCTACCATAGTTTTACATGGAGCCATGGAAAAAGGAAGTACGCAACAGAACTGCACCCTCAAATTAGTCAGCAATGTAAAATATTACACATCAATGTGCTGCAACCTATTTACATGCTGATATGCTTTGTTAATTCAGTGTGGAAATATATAAAATATGAACAGATGTGCCATGCAAAACCCTAATTTTGGGACTAAAGTTATATATTCATTATTTGTTAAGTCACTAAATATAAATCCACACACAAGCACTGCCTCTTCCCTCTCTGATTGTCCTTGAAGAAAGTTCGGATACAATTAAATTCTTCATAGACAGGAGATTAAACAAAACCAAAAAAGAATAAAAAATACAGAACACATATAAGTTGCTTTCTAAACAAACCATGACATTTTTCTAGGTTATTTATTTTATCCTAATTGAAAAGTTCTTTCATTTTTAATAACAACACTTGCTTCCCTTCTGATTTGAGGTTGCCGCTCATTATTCAAGGATACTAGACCTGATGAATCTAGGAGGTTAAGAGCATCAAAACTATCAAATGTAAAATACCTCATCCTTTTAAGATTTAAAATGAAACTAACACTGACTGTATTATAATTAGAATCATATATTCTTCAACACAATGTGTGTGCAAACTGTGTTTGGAGCAGTTTCTTAAATGACAGAATGACAGTGTGTCTATGCTATAGATGTAGCACCTTTAAATCTCCATTTAATTTAGAGCAGTCCTGGGAAGGATTCATTCACTCACCCGTATCCAGCTGTTGGCCTTCAGTTCCACAGCATTCTGTGGTTCACTGCTGTACAGACAGCATAAGCACCACATCAGAGTCTTCTGGCTTTCATCTGCAGGGAAAAAAGCAAATAAAGATATACTTAGAGGGAAAAGAAAAACCCAAACAAAACAGACAGAATCACAAACAAACCCTATTCATCCACAAAACTGAGACCCTAAATATCAGCCTCAATTCATGCTGCTTCTATTCTACCAAATTCATACCACACACTTAACTTTAATCACTATATACATCTTGTGTAATCATTTCTTTCAATAGCAGATTAAAAGGTACCAAAGTGTTCAGAATCTATACCATAGTTAGATGATATTAAGAAACTTGCAGGACCTAGTAATTCATTCACATAAATAATACCTGAAGCTACCTTCAAGGAACTTTCAACTCAGTAAATAATATCACTAATAACAGACAATAGTCTACAGTAGTAAAATAGTTTATTACATTGTGTCTAAAGCTTACACAACTCAAGTATGCTCAGTTACGAAAAACTAAAGTTTGTGAAGTATGAAATCATTCATAACTAGAATATAAATTGCCAAATTCTCTGTAAAAATACAGAAAGAGTCTCCATACATCAGGAACATGACATTTCTGCACACAGCAGAATAGCTAGATGATGATGAAAAAAAATCCTATTCCAATTTTCTGTTAAGGATCAGATTGGGTTTTACTTAATTCTAACCCACTCGTTTCAAACGAGTTCACTTCTTTAAGGATCTACTATAAAACGAGCACAACTCTCTCTGCTCAGATGAACAGATATTATGGTGGAGTTGATTATCTGAAGTAAGCAGCTGAAGAGCCATTTAACTCATAATTATTTCCCACAACTTTGTTTTCGATAGGCTTTGGTGGTTTTTTTCCCTAATGTTCTTTGGCACATATTAAGACGTTCTACAGTGAATTTAATGCCAGAACAAAACTGTGTGATTGAAATGAAAATTCTGAAAACTGGATGTACTTCAGATAAAATGTTCGCTTAGTAAGCAATAAGCTTCTTGTTAAAAATAATACAAATAAGTGATACTATCAGTTTTAGACATTATATTATGAGACAATTTGATTATCAAGCTGAACAAGTAAATTCTTTTGTTTTCTGTGTATTTGTTATCCAGGATGCAATAAACAGTATTATTTAGAAGTGTTTTGTTGAGAAAGCCTGAGGAAAAAATAAAAGGTCCATTAAGTAATGCCTGTATTTTCACCAGGTGACCAGAGACGTTAACACTGATTTAAACCAGTATGCTTCAATAAATGTCCAACAAACCTGGAGGCCATTACTGACCTCCCACTGAGTAACATCTCTGCAACAGGAATGGTTTCCCAAGCATACACTTAACCCACCACAGTTCAGGGTACTCTGCCATTGTGTGTTTGGGGACTTTTTAATATGGATCTTTAAAAGGCTAATAATTTCCTATGTTTTGTAATTCTGCAGTAAAGGATGCATCTTGCATACTGCTCAGCTAAAATTCTTAAACTCTGATTATATCCAACCGACATTCAGACATCGGCACTAGTAGACAACTATCTCCTTCAAAAGGACCCGTCATCTAAAGTCTACTATGACATTATCTGGGAGGAAAAAAATAATGAGTGGTTTATTTAATTAAATGACTAAATCACAGCAAATTCCTTCTTGGAAAATAAAGATTTTAAACATTATTAATTACTAATACTAAATATCGCCTAATTACAAAATCTGACTTTTGACATACCCTTCAATTATATAAATTACACAGAAAAAGGGAAGAAGACATCAACTCCAAACTTCTTACCTCAAACAACATATACATAGTTCAAGTATTCTTTTGACTCATACAGTTTATAGTGTATGTCTACAATACATCAATAAGTCACTTTATTTAAATTCTGGTTTTCTTTTAACTTAAAAAATTAAGAAAAGGGGTGAAGAAAATACATGTAAATGCTTGAAGAGATTTCTGGATGAGATTTTTGTTACATGTGATGACTTGCTGCATACTATAAAATACTTTGCATGTATTGCTGCCTGTCAGAAATGCAAATCAGTATGATGAAAGCTAAAATGATGAAAACAAAGCCTAGATAAACTAAGTTGGTACACTTTGCCAGCATAATAAATTTACACAGATTAACATAGGTAGATTCAAACTACATCCCCAGTGAAACCATCCTATGCTGGTCTCACAGATAAGTCAAAAGTTTCCAAAAAATAAGGAACTGGTACAAATTCAGATTTTCTTAGTTCAAAAAATTACTTTTTTTTACAAAAATGACTAAAACTGAGGTAGCCTCCCATAGGTCTGTGAAAAACAGGAAAAGGACCCATACAATCCTCCTCCCATGACACATTCTGAGGGAAACTCTTGGTTCACTGTTTTCACAGCTGCCCTGGAAGAGGGGATGAAAGATGGGAAGATTAGGACAGATCTTAAAATAATTACAGCAGCTGCAAAATATAATCCTATCAAAAGACGAAACACAGAGCCATCAAAAACCTAGTGGTGGATTTTTTCCTCCCAGTTTTCTAGCAACTGTGATCTCAATGGTAAAACTATCATCATGATACACACTGAAAAGCATTATCAGGGTACAAACAAAAGCATTTGATCTTACAATGGCACGAAAGGCTGCCTAATACCCAACCAATCAATTAATACATCCACAGAAATAAAATTAAAAACTCAAAGGCGGATATTTCAGCTCAAAAAAGGTAATCTACCACCTATCTACAGGACTCCTTTAGGGAGGTTAATACTGTATTCCAACAAAGGGAATAAAAAATTTCTGTAGGAAATTTTAGACAGCTTGGAAGCTGCTTTGGAAAAAAAAAGGCAAAAAGAAAAAAAAATGACCAACCAAAAAAAGGGATAAGAACCCCAAAGAAACAAACAAGCAAAGAAACAAAAGAACTGAAACACCTGAAACCAACCAACCAGTCAAAAGCCCAAACTTTTATAATTTTGTACTTCTTTCCTGCCAATCTCACAACAAAAAAACTATTTAAAAAAGAGACAAAGAACAAAAACGTATGCTTTTCTCATAACACAATGTAGTCTCAATCATCCCAAGCACATTCACTTTATAAATACCTGGCAGCCAGATAGAAGAAAGAAAACCCTAATCTTTCAGCCAGAAATATTATTTTTTAGAGTTTGCTGTAAAATTTTATTGAAACATATCACAAAACGTGGATTAGCTAAAACTGAACTTTCTGCTGAAATGAGTCCATTCCCAAGCTTGCATGCTCACACACATATACTGACATATAGAGCCACCAAGAAACCTCCAATTTATAGTATTAGTTTGGGATTTGAGACATTTGGGCTCAAAACTCAAACCAGAAGGGTTCTACTGAGAAGATAATCACACAGCCAACAAAAAAAAACAAAAACAAAAACAAAAGAAACCAAAACAAAACAAACAAAAAAAAAAAAAAAAAAAAAAAAACCAAAAAAAAAAAAAAAAAAAAAAAAAAAGAAAAAAAATGAAAACAAAAAAAAAAAACAAACAAAAAAAACCCCACACTCCAAAAAAACTCCAACCACCCAAAAAACAAAAAAATAACCACCAAAAAAACTCCAAACAGAAAAAACACCACCACTGGAATTCCTAACCAAAGCCGAATTCTTCCTGTATCCCTTGTGGCTCAGGACCACAAGTACAGCCATGAGATTTTCTTCAGTCGTGCTTCCCTCACATTAGCATTCTAAATAAGGCTAACTTGGTCACCTCCTCCTCAGGAGTGTTTATGAGGAGATTATTTTCCCTCAGAGACTATGCTTCCTGCACTGAGCGGTCAGCCATGTCAGCTTCCAGCACCAACAGACATTCATCTAAGGTGATAGGTATTGTGGTTTGGACATGATGCAAAAGTATAATGTTTTTCCTGCTCCATTTTTTAGTATGAAAGACTGAATTGAACAAAATTAGCTCCTTCTTCTGTGAGGGTGGCCTGGTCTCAACACATGCCTGAATGAGCTATTTATCCAAATGAGAAATTATATGAAACCCACTTGAGAGTCAGCATCTGCTATAGCCAGCACTATCTCAAAGAATATCTTCAGAACCAGTGCCAAACAAAATGAAAAACTGCTGAATCTAAAATGCCACCAGTACAAAGAGTGCTCAGGTGGCTCTAAGAAGAGGAAGTGGTGCGAATGTATAAGCAGACATCTTCAGGTCTATTGATGTCAGAAAATCTTTAACCATTAAAGTGAAGAATTTCATTCTGAGCAAGTAAAGCTCTCTGGCTTGCTTGCCACTTGGAAAAAAAGAACCTGTAGTAAGACTTCATTGTCAAGCAAACTTCAGAGGCAATGATCAAACTGCAGAAGAAGTGCTTTTGCAGCTTCAGAAAATGCTGAAGGAACACAAAAAAGAGGAAAGAAGTAGAGGAAACCAAGAATGTATTGATGGGATTTTTTTGGAAAGGAGCCAAAAGCAGACACAGATGGCTTTCAACTCTGGTGAGAAATACAGGTGAAGCTACTTTCTCTAACACAATACACTGTCAGCTCAGAAAAACTGACCATTGGAAGACTTGCATATTCCAAACAAAAACTTAGAAGCAAAGTGCGTAAACATCAATCATTACCAACACACTCAAAAACTATGATTAGAAGGGAAACCTCTCCATAGTAAAAATACATCTGTAAAGCACGAAAATGCTTTTCAAAAAGCACACATTTGTTTCTCTGCAAAAGTGGTCTATGCCTAAACCTGTGGTTCCTTCCCAAATTTTGCTTTCAGAGGTGACATGCTGACATTCTACACATCTATTATGCATTTTACAGACAAGTTCATTTTGTCTGTGCTTGGAGCTGTCTAGAAGACAAAGCCAAAACAGAAGATGTATTCTGTGCTTGACTTAAAAAGCTCTTCTAGTTGAAAAAAATTTGCTCTTTTCTGTATTTTCCCAAAAGGAAGCATAAAGCAGAAGAGACATCATGTTATTTATTTTTGTTTTATTTCCCACTTTTATTTGTAGTGGTAATAAGAACAAAAGAGTGACAAAAAGTTATTTTAAGGGGCTCACAGGGAAGGCCAGAATCACTTTCTCTGCTTAAATGAGATCCCAAGTAATTTATCAAAATTTTAATGTCTCAGTTCCTGAAAAATGCATCAGGACTGTTGAGACATAGCACAAGGAGTGTCTCCTCCCTCCCAACAGTTTTCCTGTGCCAAATTTATTTTTTCTTCCATATTCTCACCCACACACATACTCACCACCAGTAAGAACATTTCATTTTTCCACATGCCTTTTTCCTATGTTACTACTTTACTGTTTTAAGGTAGATTCTGTGTGCATTTTCACTTGTTAAGGATGGAGAGATGGGGAGAATACATCATAAGGATTCAATAAAAACAAACAAAATCATAATGTAGACTCATTACAAAACACACCTATCAGAAAAGTTATTTCTTCTATCTTAGCATACACATATATTCTGATACACACAGAAAGAAACTTTTGTTGAAAGTAATTTAAAGCACTAGATTTTGAACATATTGAGACTCCAGCAAAATGTAATCAATACAACAAAAAATGAGAATGGAAATCATGATGCATATAAACACTCACAGGGTTTAAAACCTACTGGTTCCAAACAAGATTCTGTAACCATGAAATTAATTAGATCCAAAAGTAAATTTAACATTTCTGAAGCCCATGTATTTTAAATAACATGGATAGCCTCTTCATCTCAAAATTTTACTTCAGTAAAAAAGAATGCTGTGTCTTCATGGAAAAAATCATAGCATATAACAACTCATTTTTTCGTAATTTCTACAAAATGAAGTTTATGGAACTGCTACAGAAATATCTTAACACATTCTTACCATATCCTATAACAAAAGGATTCCAACAGAGCCTTCCTAGGAGCTGTCCAATTAAAGGGAACTTCTGGATTGCTACAGTGGGACCCTGCTAAAATACAAACAAAAAGATAGTAAATATATTGCACAACAAAAGTAGGTTAAGAGAACCATAAATGATACACACTGCTGTAAATTACAATCCCAATTATTATACTGTGAAATGCTCTGAAAGCAAAACACCTGCAAGTATGTAGATTGTCTATAATGTCATCATTCAAGTCAAAACTTAGATAATTTTCTTACCTAATACTTCACTATGTTAGAAAATTTGTTCATTTGCCTCACACCCAGCAAGCAGATCAGTATTAGTAACCAGCAAGTATATGATTTCATTGTAGTAAAAGCCTAATTAACTCACATTTTTTGATCATCATTCTTACAATACACTGTCTCAGTTTCTGAAGAAAACTAGTACATACTGTGGCATAAAATTATCTTTGTTACTTTTGTTTGTGTTTTTTAAATTAACTTCCTTAATAACTAGCCAGTAACAAACTGACATTTAAGTTCTAACCAAATAGAAAGCTGTTTCACTATAGAAGTAATAGACAATGTAGTTTATATACAGTCCTGCGTCATCAGTCTTATTTTTCCATTTTTGTAGCTTTACTATCTAATAAATGAAGGCTTTGAAAAATAGTGATAACGTGCAAGTAGCAGGGATGATAAGCATCTCCTGCTACTACAATAAATTCTTTACATTGTCTCATGTCGGGAGCTAGACCAAGACTTTCTGGCATCATAGTCACGAAGTCCATTTCAGACCATGCCTTGGATTACGTGAAGTAGCAACATTCTCTTTCCCCATTAAGGAAAAAGAAATAGAAATATGGGAAGAAACTCCACTTCCACAAAACCTTTTACTTAAATTTTAACATTTAAAGTCAGTCCAGAAACAAACCTCACTCTGCAGTCAGTCTACAGATAAGAATATTTTAAAAAAAGAACTTCCATAAGAAGCAAGCCTTATGCCATAATGCAGTACTTCTAAGTCTAATTATATTGAATATATACACTGAAAAAGTGTATATTCTCATAAAAACATACTAGCAACTAAACATGAACAACTACTTTTACTCAAGTGAGTTCAGACAATAATTAAATCAACAAATAAAACAGGCAGCAGCTTATGCCAATGATCTGACCATGCCGCTAGAATTCACTATGTATGCCGTAACACTAGGGTTAACGTGACAGCAGACCCTCTTAAGATTTAAAGGATCAGTCACAGTTTTGCATGCTAAGGCCTTCAAATCATCCAATTTATGACCTGACAACCAGAATCAAATTCTTCTTTACTTAAAGTGTTTTTTTAAGAAGCTAGAGCATTGGCTGGGAAACTTCACGTGACATCAACCTATCAAGAAGAAAAAGTCCCTTTCACAATAAATCAGGGAAACAGGAAGCACATTCCTGTTTGCATTACCTGTGACTGTTTCCTCAGTTTGCCCCTCTGATCCAGTAGTATCTTAGTCAACAAGACAAACCTTTTTGCTACTGTTACCTTCTGGTTTTGTCAAAACATGGTGCAGATTGTTTCAGAGGACCTCTTCAAAAGAGGGCACTCTTCCTTCTAAAGTCACTTACCAAATGTTTTATTGTTTCATAAAGCTGATGTAGAAATTCCTGGAGCTGGGGCAAGTGAAGGCACACATCTTTCTGGGATTCCAAAGTAGTGGCTTGACCCCATTCAATAGCTTTATCCAACCAATACTCAAAGTTCAGTTTGGGCACTGTAGTGTCCTGAGCCATTCCACAATCCTGAAAAAAAGATTTTAACTCCACATCAGGCAGCACTGAACACTGGCTTCAAACCAAGAACAAATATACAAAAGCGAAAGATTTCTGCTACCTTTTTGGTGTGCACACTAGAATGGAGTGTAGGGAGCGTCTGTTTACATCTCATAAGGCTGCTAATTTTCAAACCAAGAACAAATATACAAAAGTGGAAGATTTCTGCTACCTTTTTGGTGTGCACACTAGAATGGAGTGTAGGGAGCGTCTGTTTACATCTCATAAGGCTGATAATTTTAGTTGCAATATTAAGAAGTTAAACTAATAACCCCATCATAACAAAGTAGCAAGGGGGGCACAGTAATCAGTAAATTATCTTAGAAAAAATGTAACACCCAGATGTGTTAAGCCTTTTCTTATCCAACTTTGTCATCATCAATATTTCAATTAGAATTTTAGAATAATTTGAGCATGCATTTGTTTCAAATGCTATGCATGATGAAAAACTAAAAATGCCTGTTCCAAGACAAATGAAAGTATTAAAAATAGGCTCAATCAAAACAAAAGGCACTAGAAGGCCTTCAATCATTGTAATTCCTGTATTTGCAATCGATCATTAGATTTATGTGAAAAAAAGAGTATTCTCCTTAATAAAAACTAACAAATTTAATATTTCAGGTCTGTTTCCTCCTGCATACCATACAAGGAAGAAGGGAAAAAAATATAACCATATGCAGCTTTATATATAACCCAGTTCTGAATGGAAGCTGTACCATAAATGATCTACATCCTATGGCACACTTCACTCTAAAAAACTGGTCTTTGCAGGATAAGCACTATCACCAAGCCAGAACATAAAAACCTAACCAAACTGTGCCAGTAAAAGATACCAAAAAACAACATACAATTTTTTCTGCTTTACTATTATATTTTCTTTGACAGAAGGACAGAGAATAGTACAGCAACCTTTAAATCTCTCTGAAAGAAATGTCTCATAGGCTAGAAGACCAAATGAGCACTTGCAGCCTTTCAATCATTGTTCTTTCTGTCAAAACTGTAAAGACAACTGTCAATTAACAGAATGTGGTGGCAATTTTCAGAAATTAATTGCTGCATACTTGGAGACAAATTCAGACACTCATAGATGCCACAGAAATGAATGAATATGTATATTTGCAAGCTATAAACCAAAAAATAAACCAGAACCTCCACAGCAGCCCTGCAAACCAAGCTTGCTTTATACAGCTAACCCTCAGAAACACAGGATTTGTACAGCATGCTGATCTCAGCCAGATAAAAACTTGAGGATAGTTAATAAGCTTGTTTAATTCTATGAGAAATAAATAAATAGATAAATAAATAAATAACTCCTAGTGAATCACAACTATCATTTAAGTTTGGATCCTGTCCAGACAAAAAATAAAAAAAATTTAAAAATATAAAAGGGGAAAAATTAAATTGATGTTAAGCTGTTGGATTGCTAGTGTACAATATTATTTGCCCCAAACTGGTTCAAAGACAAGTAAGCAAAGCCACTGCTCTTGTGTTCTTTACTACACTCCCATTTTTATCTGCCACTGTTGCTGTTGGCAGAGCTTAAGGGATCTGTGCAGTACCAAGATGTTGGTTACTGATCTTGTTACTGATCTTCTCTGAGTATCAAAACACATTATGAGACTCTCCATCACAGCAGCTGGCTGAAGCAACACGGGTCCCAGATGCAATTAGCCATCAAACACTTTTATCACTACAGGGACATAAGAAAGACTTTCAGAACAAGTTGAAGCCAGGAAGTGAACTAACACATGTGGTTAAATTAATGAGCCTATTTGACGTTTCCAAACAAGATCAATCCTACTAAATAACTGAAAAATCAATCCCCATATAAAATGGCTCCTAAAACTTTTAGGAAAGAAGATAAAAAGGAAAAAACAATCAAAAAAAGAGGAAGCACAACAACTCCAGCATTTTGGGGACAATCATGACTTGATTAAGTATTAATTGAGAATCCAAGGAAAGCAAATCAAGAAGGATAATCTAATATACTGAGTACCTGTTTCTACTACTTCAGTATGCAGAATGGCACAGCCATCACTCTTCTTTTTCCAGAAGTCTGAGATCCCAGCTCTCCAATAAGAAAGGTGTTTTGTCTCCCTGGCTATTATAGCTAAATAAACTGGATTGCACTTTTTTTTTTTAAAGCACTGCTACTTATTAAAAACCCCAAAAACAACAGCACACATCATAAGTGAAAGAAAATCTTAGAAGTGTATCTCTCCTCTATACTGCAAGTGTGCATTTTTTACTGTTTCTGATAGCTAACTCCCTTAAAATATCTGAATATTTTGGAGATGAGAATTCTCCCGTCAACAGACTTGCAATAATCACACACAAGACAAAGCAGCTGTATGTTCAGTGCTATTCAAAACCCTCACCTTGTAGCATGAAAGCACAAACGAAGGACCTGGAACAAAAAAACCTCCAGCTATACCAGCTAACCTAGGATTCAGAACATATCCTCAGAAGTATCAGTCCTGGCCGTGATCTTTTTGCATAATTTTCTGATGAAAATGAAACACTGCTCTGTTTCTAAAGCAAGAGTTCAGGAATTTTAGGTGCAGTATAATGCTCAATTCACGGATACATTTATGGGTAAAAAATAGAGGAGTCAGTTTTATGTGCATTTCCAAAGTAGATTAAAGGACAAATATCTGTGTTTTTCTGTGCAATTAATTTTCTGAAACTGCTAAAAATCCTAATATATCAGCAATAAGGAACAAATGATCCCTACGATTAAGAGAAGATGTAATCTTCAGCGCACATTTTGAATAACCATTTAGAGTGACATGTAAAGATCTTTGCACTTTTTAGGGCGGGGGGAAGGAGGAACGGTTGTGCATTTCTGTAAAGCTTTGAACAAGAACTACTCTGGCAGATTCATTGGTAGCAGAATCCCTTACAGCAACTCTAACATAGTCACAGAATCCTCTGAGCTGGAAGGGACCCATAAGGTCCACCACGTCCAACTTTTAAAGGAATGGTCTATGAGGGAATGGAACCCACAACCTCGGCATTGTTAGTACATTACTCCAATCCACTAAGCTCATCTCAGGGTTGAATGTGGATTTTCAAGAATTATAATCACCAACAATGCTTAAAGGCATTGCTGCTCTCTGTTTTGGAACATCACCAATTCACAGTTTTTATAAAATTACTTCAACTGTAGCATGTAGTCCTGAAGAGAACAATTTGATTAATACAGCTTACTCTTGTTTTCACCCCCACATTACTGGAAAATACACAGTAAAGCTACTGTGTATGTATAAATACTGTGAATTTATAAATAACCTGATTAAAAAGCAAACATACCAGAGACACAGATTTAATCTCAAAAGCCATCACAGGATACAGGATATGGTTTATTAGAGAAACAGAAAACTGTTAGGTAATCAAAGGTAACTTAAATGTTCAGGTCCCAGTATCACATTGAACATATTAGAAGAGCTACAGGAATCACAGACAATAAATACTTGATTAGTAATATGACTTACAATACTGACAGATATATTCCTAAAGTCTCTTTCAGACTAATTTAGATTCTTTTCAATTAGAAAGGACTCATTTTAGCTGCCAAAAATGAAAAACTGATTCTTATTTTGACTGCATTCTCCACAACACAGCAAACTCAGAAGTCAGATTTATTGTGAATCATCTTACAGTATCTTTTACTTCCAGAAAGAAGTCTTTAGCCCTCTTCTCTGAGAACCCCCAGGCAAACCCTCTTGGCCTCACACTTTCAAGTACACAGAACCTTGGGGACCACTGGTATGAGGGTACTCATTATACCTTTCAGAAGTTAATGGCAGCACTTCTAACAAGGAATTTTATTCTGTCAAGTGAGCTCTCTGGATAGTATCTGAAACATACTACTTTAGTCACTAAGTTTTGTTACCAGATCTTGAGGCAAAGTCCTCACATCTTGCTTTAGTAAGTTCAAAAAAATTACAATTAAACTTTCATGAATTTATTTCTCTTTAATCTTTTAAATTCAGCTGCTAAATTTAAATAAAGCCTTTTAAGTAGAAGGATCTTTGAGGTACTATTAAGGTACAATATTTCCTTATGTCACAGTGTTCCAAATAAACATGACTAAAACTTGTATTCAAGGTATAAAGCTCCCACTTTGCCTTGAATCAATGATAAGTAGTTCCATGCTCCAAATGAACATTTTACTTTCCACTCCTCCTCCTCTTCCTTGTCCTCTCTTATAAACTACCTACGAGCAATCTCAGCTTATGAAGAAAAGCACAAAATAAGAAAACAGTTAAAAATACTCTTATGATGTCAGGGCCCAAGGGCCCCAAGCACAAAAGGTCACCATTAAGATAACAAAACATATGGATATAAACTCCAAATTCCAAACTATTTTAAGGGGCTTTCATACTTACAAAAGCAGTAGGACAGTCCTTTTGTGCATATTTATTACTCTAATATATATTAGGAGATAATATTACCAGTTAGGAGCACTTCAGTAATTATATAATCAAAAGATACCACCATTTTGACTCCTTAATCACCTTTAACTTGATTGTGATACAGCATGGTTGATACAGTAATATAACAAAAGAGTATTAATTTTTTCAGTGTGTCAAAGATTATTATAATCAAGTCACAAATTTACTACCTAATGGATATTCTGAGTTTATGCAAAGAGGAAAAAAAAAAGTAGCAATTATCCTGAACATTGTTACTATTTTCTCATTTATTACTTCTCTACATAAAATATCTATTTCTTTACCTTGTTCTCAAGTATATTTTTCATCTTCACCTTGACAAGTCTCCTTCTGCTTGCCAAGAATAGAAGAAAATTCAATATATACTTAGATAGGAAGTAAGAGCAAACATAATTTAAATCTGTTACCAGCCTCCCCCAAAAAAATTTTTTAAATAGTTTATTAGAAAAAAAAAACATTTTTTTAGAAACTTCAGAAAGGCCCAGGAGTAGTAAAGACTATGTGAAAATTAAA